TCCGGAGGATCTTATTCCTACTTTGAAGTAGGAATAAGATCCTCCGGAAAAGGGTACTTTTTCCGGAGGATCGGGGCCAGTGTAGACGCTCTTTTCTGGCTTTTCTAAAAGCCGGAAAAAAGCCGCGGACATTTTTATTTAAATGCCGCGGGGGATATTTAAATCCCCCGCGGATTTCCCTATTACGATAGCTGAAATTAACATGCCCCTTCCGGAAAAGGGGCCAGTGTAGACGTAGCCTAGTTGGGAAGGGATCTGAGTTACTATAGAGAATTCCTTCCCAACTGTCTGACTTTTGGATCTTACCCACATGCTCAAGGTCTAACTGATACTATATTTGTGGTCAGGAAGAAATTTTCCACCAGGCCAGATTGGCAAATATTTTTGCCTTCCTCTGCAGCATGGAGTATAGATCACTTGCCGGTTTAAACTAATCTAAAGGGGGATTTCTGCAACCTGAAGTTTTCATATCATGATTTGAGGACTTCAGTAACTCTGGTCTATTACAGGAATGAGTGGGCCAAGGTTCTATGGCCTGCAAAGCGCAGGTCAGACAAGATGATCATGATGGTCAATCCAGCCTAAAAGTCTATGAGTCTAAATATTTTAATTTGAGCCAAGATCAACAATTAATGCACTACTACAAATTTAAACAAATCATTAGCCAGAAGTTACATTTTGTATGCCAAAAATGATTCTGCATGTGAATTCAAATCTAAATTTTCAATTACCTCACTACTGTTGGGTAGAGTTCAGAAGTATAAATATACACTATGTTGAAGGCAGCACTGACAGTCAATTTTCCACACAAGGCCAACAGAGTTGGGCTGAAGAATAAGCCTTTGGAAGAGATAAAATAAATAAATGTGAACATTAAGAAATACATAACACTTTTCTGTTTTGTTTTGTTTGTTTTTTTACTAAGTTGAAAACATGGTCTTTTTCAAGTGTAACACAGGTGTAGCATTTATTCTTTGCTATTGAAGTTTGTTCTTCCAGCATAAAAGCTATCTAATAGCCTTTAACTACCTGAAGGGGGAGAGAGGCTGTTCTCAGTAGTGACAGATGACAGAACGAGTTACAGTGGCGATGGTCTAGGTTGGATATTAGGAAAACCATTTCACTAGGAGGGAGGTGAAGCACTGGAATGGGTTACCTAGGGAGGTGGCAGAATCTCCATCCCTAGAGGTTTTTAAGTCCCAGCTTGAAAAAGCCTTGGCTGGGATGGTTTAGTTGGGTTGGTCCTGCTTTGAGCAAAGGGTTGGACTCGATGACCTGCTGAGGTCTCTTCCAACTCTAGGATTCTAAGTCAAATCAGGCTCCTGAAAGAGGTGTTATAGTCTGGAAAGATTGAGTGTGTCTGTCTTATTGTATCTCATTAGTATCACTACTATTTTGTAATATTAAGTTAAATAAAATGTACATATGACTGGATAGTTCCAGATTCTACAGTGACTCTGGTAGGATTTTTAAACTACTTTAATAACTGTGAAAATAATGTCACATTATTCAGTAGTTTGCACCATATCCAATTCTAGAAGAACAAAACATCTCCAAAATATACATGGTCTTTACCAGTTTCCTGCTATTTCCTGTTTTACATCTGTTATAGGTAGATATACTATCTCAAGTTTATTTAGACAATAGTGCATACTCACCAACATTTTCTGGTAAAAACATGGTAAATATACATGCAAACCCCGCAAATATCAGAAAAGAAGTTGTAGTTTTACGTCTTCCAGCCCTAAAATGAAAAAACATATGGTTACATAGGGTTAAAATCTAAACCAGTGTTTCTTAAAATTTTTTAAGACTGAGGAACACCAAATAATAATTTTTTTTTTTTTTTACGAGGAACACCAAAGATTTTTGTTGAGCAAAAGAAAAAAAAAGGAAGCTTGCCCCTTTTAAGGACATCCATTTGAACTCTGGTGACCATATTTTCTGAACCAAAATTAGGGACACATTACCTACATCTCCTAATCTCTGTTTACTATACCCCAGACTCTCGGGGTCGAGATGGACACATGACCAGAAATAAAAGTAACCCCCTCTAGGAACTTTTCCCACCATCCTCCTACCTATAGGGGATTAGTTTGGCCCGCACCGAATCCTTTCTCCTCTGGTGCTGATCTCTCCCCTGCAAATGTCTGCCCTTCTGCTTCACCCCCACAATCCCCTGGCACCTGCACCTTCCCTTACCCATGCACCTTTCTGGTGCTTCCTCCTTCCCTCACTGTCCCTGCCCCCTTACCCTTTCTCTCCCTGATGCCCATCCCTTCACCACCTTCTGCCCCAGTTCCTCTCATGCCCCTCTGTGCCCTCACACGACTTGCTCCATGCCCGCCTTCCTCATACCCACCTCTCCTTTCAACCCTTCTCCCAGCACCTCCCCTTCCCCTTGCTTCCTTTTGTCCCCAATGCCCTTCCCCTCTCCCCTCCCAGCATCACCCTGTCCCCTCCACCCTCCCACACAAACTGACACTTCCCCTCCCTCCTCCTGCCCTTTTCCTCATTTTTTCCACTTGGTCCCCTGGCATTTGTCTCTCCTCCATCCTGTCCCTTTGTGACTTCCCCTTTCTTCTCCTGCCCTACCCCCTTCCCTCAGCACAAACCCCTTCCTTTCCTACCCTCCTTCCCCCTAGTTCTCTCCAAGCCTCTCCCCTACCTTTTGCCTTCCAGTTTGTGGGGCTAGAGTCTGTGGTCGGGCCCTAGAAAAATCTCTTAAATACAATTGAATATATTTTCAACAATATATGCTATTTAAGTGGAAGTTCTCATCATTTCAGTTTGGCAATCTTAAAAGTTTAGTAAGCTTTGACAAAGAAGTTACTTACCTCGTAAAAAATGGTTACGTATCTTGTAACTGTTGTTCTTCAAGACGTATTGCTCATGTCCGTTCCATGTATGTGGGTGTGTGTGCACAGTATGCACACGTCATCAGAAATTTTTCCCGTTGGGCCAGGAGTGGCGCCGGTATACTGGCCAATATATATGCCTGCTGGCCCTCCACCCACTCGGTTCCCTCTTCCTAGACTACTCTGAGAAAGGGGAGGCGGGCGGGATTTGGAACCGACATGAGCAACACATCTCGAAGAACAACAGTTACAAGGTAAGTAATCATTCTTTCTTCTTCAAGTGCTTGCTCATGTCCCTTCCATGTTGGTGACTCTACAGCAGAAACCCTAGGAGGGGGAATCGGAGTTCTAACCTTCCACTGAGTGAAGGACAGCCTGACCCAGAGCAGCATCCTCCCTGGCCTGATGTGTGAGCGCATAGTGATTGGCAAAGGTGTGGACAGAGGACCACGTGGCGACCCTGCAGATGTCCAACATTGGGACTGGAGCCATAAAAGCTGCAGAGGAGGCCTGCACTCTCATAGAGAGGGCTGTGAGAGGGAGAAGCTGGGACCCCTGCCAGCTCATAGCATTCCCTAATGCATGCCATGACCCAGAGCGAGATCCTTTGCACGGAAACAGTCTGACCCTTCAGCTGCTCCACAATGGCAACAAAGAGCTGAGGCAACTTGCAGAAGGGCTTTGTTCTCTCCAAATAAAAGGCTATGGCTCTCCTAATATCCAAAGTGTGCAGCGCCTGGTCTTTACTCAACGCATAGGGTTTGGGGTAAAAGACTGGCAGGAAAATGTCCTGAGACACATGGAAGTTAGACACCACCTTAGGCAAAAAGGCAGGGTGAGGGCATAACCTGACTGTGTCTTTAAAGAAAACTGTAGATGGGGGTGGGGGTCCAAAGTGAGATCCCTCAGTTCAGATACGAACTTGGCTGACATGATGGCCACCAGCAGGGATAGCTTGTAAGACAGGTGCAGTAACGAAGATGTTGCCAGGAGTTCAAATGAGGGTCCCATGAGTTTGGACAGGAACAAGTTAAGTTCCCACTGAGGGATCGGCTGCCGAACACGTGGATAAAGACTGTCCAGGTCCTTCAAAAACCTGTTTACCATCAGATCCACAAAAAGGGTCTTACCCCTGGCACCCAGGTGAAAAGCGGACATAGCTGTTAGGTGGACCTTAATTGAGGAGGAGGATAATCCTTGAAACCAGAGATCTAGAAGGTAGTCCAGGACGAGGGGAACCAAGGCATCCATAGGGGCACCCCCCAACCCCGGGTAGACCAGATATAAAACCCACTTCCACTTAGCCAGCTAAGTGGCCCTAGTGGAAGGTTTCCTGCTCCCCAGCAACACCTCCTGCACACAGGCCGAACACTGAAGTTCCACCGCTGTCAGTCACAGAGCTTCCACGCCATCAGGTGAAGGGCCACAGGTCCAGATGGCGAAGCCAGACAGCGTTCTGCAGCTCAGGTTGGGGACTAGTGGGAGTGCAACTGGCTTGTCACATGACAGACTCAGGAGGGTGAAGAACCAGTGCTGCCTGGGCCATGCAGGTGTGATGAGGATCAGGGACGCCCTGAATTCCTGGACCCACAGGTGCACACGGTGGATCAGCGGGAACAGTGGGAACACACAGAACAGACCCACGGCCCAGGGAATTAGCAACACATCTCCCAGAGAACCCCTTCCCAGACTCATGAGGGAACAGAATCCCAACCACTTCCTGTTCTGGCACATGGCGAACAGATCCAGACGGGGAAACCTCCACCTGTGGAAAATATCCAGGGCTACATCCCGAGGGTCCACTCATGGCTGGAGAAGGACCTGCTCAGACAGTCGGCCAGAGTGTTCTGGGAGCCCAGGAGATATCCACCCCAATGCAGAGATCCCACAGGTGAAGGGCCTCTAGATACAGGTGAGAAAAGCGGCTCTGCCCTGCCTGTTGATGTACGAAACTGTCAACGTGTTGTTGGACAGGATGAGGACCGATTTGCCCCTGAGCCAGGGAAGGAAGGCCACACAGATGAGGAGTACTAATCGAAGCTACCTGACACTGATATGCAGGGAAAGATCATTCCTTGACCACATACTTTGCATCCGCATCTCTCCTAAATGGGCCCCCCCCCAACCGGTGTCTGACGCATCCATCACGAGCCAGAGGATTGGTAGCAACTTGGAGAACGGGACTGTGGTGCAGACCTCCTCCTCCCGGGTCCACCAATCCAAGGAGCGAAGGGCATAGGGCGGGAACTGTCACCACTCTGTCCCACGCATGAAAGGACGGCTTTTGAGTCCGTGCCAGCCACATCTGCAGTGGGCACATGCAGAACCTGCATGCAGTATTAGGTAGGTGCATGCAGCCATTAGGCCCAGAAGGCGCATGCAGGCCCTGGCCGTGGTTATCAGGAACTTCTGCATGTCCCAGACTGCCAACCTGATTACCAGGAAGTGGGATCTGGGGAGGGAGGCCTTGGCCCCCATCAAGTCCAGGGTGATGCCCGCAAACTCTATTACTGGGGTAGGCACCAGAGTCGATTTGGGAACGTTCAGAAGCAGGCCCAGTTCCTGAAAGAGCCCAGTTCCTGAAAGAGTTTCTGTGCCAGGATAATGTGGGATCATACCTGGTTGGCGGAGCGTCCCCGTAGGAGCCAGTCGTCCAGGATTGGGAACACACGGACACTTCATTTTCTGAGGGCGGCAGCAACAATGGCCATGCACTTTGTGAAGACCTGGGGGGCTGCGGAAAGCCCAGAGGGGAGGGCTGTAAACTGACAGTGGTCCCTGCCCACCATAAAAAGGAGGAACCGACGATAGTGGGGCACAAAAGAAATATGAAAGTATGCATATTTTAGATTAAGGGCAGCATACCAGTCTCCGGGGGCTAGGGAAGGAATGATGGATGCCAAAGTCACCATCTTGAATTTCTTCTTAACGATGAAAGTGTTAAGGTCTCAGATGTCCACTGTTGGCCTTGGGGACCAGAAAATACCAGGAATAGAAGCCTCTGCCCAATACCACCGAGTGAACCACCTCTGCGGCCCCCAGGGTGAGGAGCTGAAGCAGCACCTCCTGCAGGACAAGCTTGTGAGAGGGGTCCCTGAAGAGGGACGGGGCAAGGTAATGGGAGCCGGGGGGGGGGGAGGAAGCAGAGATCAGAAGGGGTTGACATACCCCCTTCCCACCATTTCTATAACCCAATGGTCTGAAGTAATAGATTCCCAGGCCCGGCAGAAACGGAATAGATGGTCCCAAAAGGGGAGGGACAAGGCTGGTAGGCTGACCTCGGGCGCACCCATAAAACTCGTGGCGAGGTCCCGAGGATTTACTGGGCATAAAAGGGGAGGGACAAGGCAGGTAGGCTGACCTCGGGCACACCCATAAAACTCTTGGCGAGGTCCCGAGGATTTACTGGGCAGACCCTGACTTTGGTCCTGGGGCGGCCAAGGATAGTGCCTGCCATTCTTCCTGTTGCCGTTCCTGTTACAGTGACAGAAGTCAGAGCATGTGCCCTGCTGGGAGGATCTATGGCCCTGTGGATGGTGCCTGAGAAGGAGCCCCACTGGGTAGCCAGGGCATGAATATTCAAAGACCTTAGGGTGGCCTGGGTATCTTTGAGGCCATGCAGACATTGGTCCGTCTGCTCCAAAAATAAGGAGAGGCCCTCATAGGGGATGGTGTTCTGCAGTTCAGGGGGCACCCTGGACCGCTGCAACCAAGAGCTGTGGTGTATAACTAACCCCGCAGCAATGGCATGTACAGCAGCATCCAGGGCAGCCTGGAGTGTGGTCCTAGAGATCGTCCTGCCTTCCTCCAAGAGGGCTCTAAACTCGGGCCAAGAGTCCCTGGAGAGTAGTTCAATGGACTTATCCATGGAGGCCCAGGTGTTATAGGCATAGGGAGACAGCAGAACCTGCTGGTTTGCTCTGCAAAATTGTAGGGCTCTCAACATGTAGGCCTTCCTACCTAGTAAGTCCATTTTCTTAGCATCCCTATTTTTAGGGGTAGCGCCCAGTTGACTGTCTCTCCCTCTGATTCACCACCTGGATGACCAGGGACCCTGGAGGTGGGTGGAAAAAAAGATACTTATTCCCTTCCTGGGACATGAAGTATCGACGCTCAGTCCTCTTGTCTGTTGGAGGGATAGAGGCTGGAATTTGCCGAAGGGACTTAGACAGTTTGCCCATCGTTTTGTTAATGGTAAGGGCCACTCTAGTAGGGGTTTCCGACTGCAAGATGTCAACAGTCTGGTCGGAGTCCTTGGACACCCTCTCAGCCTGGACCCCAAGGCTTTCGGCCAGGCGCTGAAGTAGGTCCTGGTGTGCCCTCGAGTCCGTGGAGGGCATGGAAGGGAGAGTGTCACCCAGGGCCTCATCAGGAGAGGAATAGGCTTTGGGCCAGGCACTGAAGTAGGTCCTGGTGTGCCCTCAAGTCCGTGGAGGGCATGGAAGGGAGAGTGTCACCCAGGGCCTCATCAGGAGAGGAAGATGAAGAACATTTTGGCCTCATCTCTACAGAGGCCTCAGCCTGCAAGAGGACCTGCGAGGCTGCTGGTGAGGGCCCTCGCTCTGGACCTAGAAAGGACCCCTCAGGTTCCGAAGAACATGGGGAGATCTGTCCCCAACATGGGCGACCAGGACAGTGGGGTCGCCAAAGGGGGCGCTCTGGACCTAGAAAGGACCGACTCCAGTCTAGAGGGACCCACACCCTGGCTCTGGTGGTAGGCCCAGGCGGTGCAAACGGCCATTGAGACGGGCCTGGAGCCTGCTGCTACACCGGTATGGGGACTGGCTACACCTACTGATACTGCTGATGAGCAGAGATGCTCCGGTGCCATGATCGGTGGGAGAGGGAACGGTGCTGGGATCTGGACCTGGATCCCCTGGATGACCACGTGGACTCCTCTGAGTCGGTGGAGTACTCAGACACTGACTACAGTGGAGCGGAGGCAGATGCAGTCAGTGTGGCTGCAGGGGCATGCTGAGCCATCGACTCTGGTTTACTCTGGTGCCAGCGGGGAGGAGGCGGCGGCATGGGCAGGCCCGGGCCCGAGAGACCTTGAACAGAGCCAGCAGTCACAGTAGCCGGTGCAGCACTCAGTTCCAGTCGAGACCCTTGCCCTGGTGCCAGGTCCAGTGCTATGACACGGGCTGGGGTTGAGGTTGCTGTCGGTGCGGGCCCTGTAGGCGGTGTTGCACTCAGACCGACAGTGGCATGGGAGGTAGCCATAGCGTAGTGGTGCTTCTTAGGCTCCGGTGCCAGGGTGCCCAGTGCCCTGGCTCCAATTGGTGCCACCAGGGGTCCCGATCCTTTCCTGCAGTTGGTGTCGGGATAGGAGAGGGGGACGGCTCAATCAAATCGGTTGCTGTCGGTGCGGGCCCTGTAGGCGGTGTTGCACTCAGACCGACAGTGGCATGGGAGGTAGCCATAGCGTAGTGGTGCTTCTTAGGCTCCGGTGCCAGGGTGCCCAGTGCCCTGGCTCCAATTGGTGCCACCAGGGGTCCCGATCCTTTCCTGCAGTTGGTGTCGGGATAGGAGAGGGGGACGGCTCAATCAAATCCCTGTGGCTGAGCAAGAAGGCCCAGGATTGGCGCCTGATGATGCCATGTGCCTCACTTGAGTGCACACGGAGGGCACGTGCTGTGGGGATGACCTAACTCTGCTACAACTCCTCTTCTTCTGAGGCACCAGGGACTGGGAACGGTGCCTAGGTCTGCGCGATGACAGGGAGCCACACAAGTGACCTGATGCCTCCCGCACCAAGGCCACTGCACTTTGCACTGCCGGTGCTGGGTCCGACGCCAGTGCCGGTCGTAAAGCCGCCTCCCTCTCCTGCTTCATCCGTGGTTTAAACACCTTACAAATTTTGCAGGCCTCCAACAAGTGAGCCTCTCCCAGGCACTTAAGGCAAGCAGAGTGTGGTTACCACAGGGCATAGGCCTCTGGCAGCTTTCGCAGGGTTTGAATCCGTGAGGGTGGAGCACGCCTCACTGCATGCACCAGGCATGCATATCAAGGACCGTAGTGAGTCCTTAGCACTAGAAACAGTACTTAGCAACTACTTAGAGAACTGATAAGAACCTAACTGTTGAAACTAGAACAAAGAACTTTAAAACGAGTGACTGCTAAAGGGTGCTTGCTAGCGAGAGAAAGAGCACGTTCCAACAACTGTCATGGGCGGTAAGAAAGAACTGAAGGAGTGGAGGGCCAGCAGGGATCTATATTGGTATACCGGAACCACTCCAGGGGGGCTCCCCTGCTGGCCCAATGGGTATTGATAAGGGAATAATTTCCAATGACACATCACACATACATGGAATGTACATGAGCAAGCACTTGAAGAACAAAACTTAGACGTGAAATCCTGGTCCTACTGAAGCCAGGGGAGTTTTGCCACTAATGTAAATGGGGACAGAACTTCATGCCAAATTTCCTGAACTGCAGTGGGACTGTGGTCCCACTTAGCTGAGGATTTCTACAGCTAGTGCTTAGCTTTTGGCATTAAATAAAAATTCTATAACTGAATGCCTCCAACTACAGAGAGAAATATAAAAAAAATACGGATTAAGTAATCATGACTTCAAAAATACTCAAGTTTTTTTCTTCAAAACTGTGTTCGTTGTTTAATGCTCGATAAAGACAATGTTCAAAATTCTTGCTACTTCAGTTGGTTGAGTTATTTGGGTGCAAAAATTCTAATTGAGTTATTACTCCTGCAGGAATTCTATGCCACTACGCATGTGTGGCATTCATCTCTCTCTGCAGATTTCTGTGTCTCTCCATACCAAATCTCTCTATACTTGGATCCTACTGGGCAGAGCCTACTCTACCCACACCCAGTGCACCTAACATACAGAAGCAGGGCCTTGGGCTCTTTCTGGGGCAGGTGTGGCTCTTGCACTGTGTCAAGGTTGAGAGCAGCCTCAGTGCTAAGTCCCTGCCCAGCAAGGAGCTCCCACCTCCATGCTGCCAGTGGCCTCTGCTCCTCACTGTCACATGGGAGCCTCCACGTTTATTGATTGACAATAGTTGCAGAATTTTGCAAAATTTTGTATTGCGTTTAGAATTTTTAGGCACAGGATTTATTCAGGAATAAGATACATTAGAGAATTCTATCCAAAATATCATTTTACTCAACTTTTTCAACAATAAAAAAGGTTCATCCTTAGGCTGACACTAAGCATTGAAAAATTCAACCTAATAGCACAAAGTTAGGTGACACCAAAAAGGAAGGAATGGAAAATGCTAATCACATTCCTACCTTAACTACAGGAAATCTTCGAGTTAACCACCACCCAAAACAGACACAATCAGAGTGAGTTAACATATTTAATTGGACAAACTTTTGTTGGTGAAAGAGAGAAACTTTCCCTCCAAGGAATAACTTTCAGAAGTAAAGAGCAGTTATCTTATCATTAAAAAAAATATTCTCCCTATATACACGATTCTAGTCTTACAACACAGATATAAAACTAAATAATTACTGTTCTTACCAGGATTTCTCAATAAAAAACATGCAGAGAGGAAATGCTGGAACTTCGATAAGTCCATAAAGAGCTACATTTAAATACAGATTTCCACCTAATTCACCAGCATTGAATGTTAGGCCATAGTATACAAGGCTGCAGACATACCTGAAAACATCCATAAACTTTTATTAGTTTTAATAATAAGCTTTTAAAACTAAGATATTAAATTACAATTTGTTTAAATGTGGCCTAATACAAAGAGAATTATGAGTTCACATACAAGACTATGGATCCCATTCAAAAAAAAAAAAAAGGAAAAAATAGTATAGATCCTATTTCAACTCACAAAGAAACCCAATGGGGAACAAATAGTATAGATCTTATTTCAACTCACAAAGAAACCCAATGGATAATAAAGCATATTGTCTAGGACAATAGGAGCAAAGATCCACTCTCATGGATCAAATATTTTTGAACCAAGCAATTTGCCAAATTTGGGGTGTTGTAGGTTGTTCCAATTAGGAGAAGTTGATGCTGGTGTATGGTAAAATGCTGTTTTCACAGATAAATGAAAATAGAAGTACACTGCCATTTACTTGAATGGAAGTCTAAGTAAGAAAGCGTGGAATGAAGCTGGGGTCCCATGCCAGGATTAGATCCCATATGTGAAGGAAAAGATCTTGGGGGCCCTTCAGGAATCGCTGCATGCGTGGGTGGGTGAATACACCATCTATCTCATGGTGAACTGTTGTGACGGCTGACAAATGCACGACTGATGGATAACTGTGATATTTTAAAAGTGTAAAATAGGGGTGGCCAACCAGTTAGAGATTAAGAGCCAAAACAGCTGTGGATAGAGTGTGAAGAGTCACGTATTACATATTTATTTGTAGATAGATAGATGGATAGATAGGAGTACACAAAATGTAGTGATAAAAACAACATTACAGGACATTTCGGACAAAAACCAATATAAAAAGTCAATAGTCACTTAAAAAATTCACAGCCAGTCCATAGATCTTCAGAGAACTTGAAAAGGAACAAACATCAATTAAAAAAAAAACCTCTTTGAAAATACAGTAATAATCTCACACTAAAAATAAGCATCCCCATCATGTATTTTAAATTTAAACTCTACTGCCCTATTATGTCCTGTGAGCTTTTTTAAATTAAACTGAACTGAAAAGTAAATTAGCACAATTTGAAGTGCCTGTTTCACTCCAGCTTGTTGATCTCTGGTATGGTTTCTTCATTTTTTTTTAAACTTATGAAGATTATGGCTTTTTTATAGTTCTTAAAATTCAGGTCTGTCCCAGACTGCAAATATGAGAGGTTCAAAAACAATAAGGGAGAGACTCATATCTCAGAATAATTGCTTCAGCCTGGCAAACAATAGCCTTTTAATTTTCTTTAAAGAAACAGTGTAAACCAGGTACATGCTGATTCTTTTTACACCCTGGAATTTAAATATGACAACTGTGTTGGCTGTCTTATTCTGCATCCATGAAGACTTTGAGTTTAAAGTGCTTCAGCCCCCTGCTCTAACCCAATGCCCCTCCCTTCCCCCAGAGCCAGGCATCTCCAGTCCCCCCCCCACTCTAACCCAATGCCCTTCTCCTCCCCCAGAACCAGGCACTCCCAGCCCCACTGCTCTAACCCAATGCTCTCCCTCCCTTTCCCTCAGAGACAGGTACTCCGAGGCTCCCTGCTCTAACCCAATGCCTTCCCCATCCCCCAGAGTCAGGCATACCCAGTCATCTCTCCCCTCCCCCGCTCTAACCCAATGCCTGGGCCCTGGAGGCTTCTCCCTCCTGGCGCTGGGGTGCGTGCACAGAGCAGCCAGCCATGAGCAATCTGGGCGCATGGCTCGCATTTCTTCAAGCAAAGAGCCATATGTGGCTCGAGAGCCACAGGTTGGCCACCCCGATGTAAAATATAGCCCAGAGTAAGTGGTAATGAAGCTTCAACATTATTGGAGGTACACGAGAATTAGAATCTAGTCCATTTGTGGATACTTGCTGGCTGAGATCTGGGGATAGGTTCTCATTATGGATACAAGACTGAGTATAGCCTAACATCTATGTGGTGAGAGGAAGACTCTGGCTTGTTTGTCAGCCAGCATTACTGTCATTCAGACAGTGTGAAGTATGTAAGTTTCAGATGGGACCTTGAAGTAAAGGACTAGATATCACCAAACTAGAGGGATACTGGAGGTGCTTGCTGTGACTAGAACAGGTGGAGGTTTCTTGGGATCTTGACAACACCTTCAAAGTTGTTGATTGGCTACAGGTGTGCGTGAGGTAGCTCCTTAAGAAGTCGTATGTCTGTGCTTGGTATGAGGCTTCAGTCAAATTGCCGGGTGGTTTGTACCTCATTAGGGATGTCAGAAGGTACTGCCATGACACCGGTTTCTTGACTATGGCAGTTAAAATGGAATGGGCAGCAATATTCACAAAGTCCAAGGCTTTTAAAGCTGTAGGGATCAGGAAGAGTCCTTTGGATATGACACTGGAATTGCTCCTTTTCATCAGGAGGAAGATTTTGGCAGAGTTCCTGTATTTTGGGATGACTAAGATAATTGTATTTGGCCACAAAAGCCTCACAGTTGGCTATTTAGAATTGGAGCATAGTGGATGAACAAGCCTTGTGACTAAATGGGCCCAATCACTTCCAAACCCTGTCATAAGGAGCGGTAGAAGCTAATAATGGTATCCCTTTTCACGCACAGCATTGACCACTACAGAATTTGAAGTCAGGTGAGAAAAAAGAAAATTCCATGTTCCTTGTGAGAATGCAATTTGTTGGTCTGTCCACTTGTAGACAGGTGAGATGGACATGCACCTCACTGACAAGGAGAGCTAATTTGGAGGAGGAGTACGCATGCAGGATGTCAAGCAGTTTATGCTGCTGTTCTTTCGCTTTCCTAAAAGGAACTTGGAGAGAATCTACCATCATGCCAAACAACTCCCAGAAGTGTTTAAGTCATTGGCTGACATAGGAAGTATAGGCATGACAGCCTGATCGGGGAAAAAGAAAAGAAATGGAATGGAGGTAGAACATCCTATGTGAGTTCTTCTTACTTATCCACTGTGGAGAGAGCCTCAGCCTCTGGTGGTAGAGACACCAATGGAAATGGCAACATGCACTGAACATGCAGAAGACACTTTTTGTGCCTGTCCCGAATATGAGGATGGGACAGGGTATTACTCCTCCTTGCTGGGGAAGAACAGTGTCGTACTCAGAGCAGAAAAAGTAATGCTCGGAGAAGACAACAGAAATGGAAGGAGGTCATATTTCAGTACACGTGACAAGGGCAGATCATATATAAGAAGGTCCTTGAGAAATTTAACCCTTTGGGTGGAGTAGGATGGGGGTGGGGGGGAAGAAGCATCATCATCACTGGCAGATATATTGGTGCCAATGGAGAGGGGGGGGGGGAAGAAGCATCATCACTGGCAGATATATTGGTGCCAATGGAGAGGTGCATTCTCTTGCGCATCCAGAAAATGGAATTAAGCACTTGATCGGTGCCAAGAACTTGCTTAGGGCCGATGGTTTTGTAAGTGCTATGGTACCCGAAGTTGATCTGTTTGGAGAGACAAGCACTGTTTTTTTAAGGTCTTCTGTCCCATCTCTGATGGCAACAACTGTAGGTCTATCCACTTAGGATCTTCAGATCTTTGGCTTAGCTCTTGTACAGGAGATATTCAGATGGTCCCTGCAACTATGTGCCCTGTCTGAGGATGTCAAGATAACTGACCTTGCAAGAGGTAGTGTTCTGGTAGGCAAAGCTTCAGAAGGCAATGAGGGAGCCTGTTTTCTTTCGGTCAGCACAAGAATGGAAGATTTTCTTTTAGAAAGACATGGAGAACAAAGATTAATGAATGATCTAGCTGCCCAGCGTTCAATGCTGGACATGACATAATCTCTCCATGAGACGTCGTAACTAAATGTCCTAGTCATTTCTGGATGTGTGGCAATGAGTACACTTTTGCAAAGACCTGTCCCTTTCCTAGGCAGTGAAGGCCCTGAGAGATCCGGGCATAAGAGTGAGGGGGAAAAACTTCCTGATAAGCCAGTGAGAAAATGAAAACTTAATCTACAAACTAATAGGGAGGGTAAGAGGAAGGAAAACTATTTTTATTATATATAGGAGGATAAGAAAGGAAAGAACTAGCTACTAAACTACACTAAAACCAACAGATAAGGCGCTATCTAACAGGTCAAAAGGAGAAGCAGGTTCTGCTGCAGACTCCATAAGATCATAAGGAGGGCCAGACTGGGTCAGATCAAAGATCCTATCTAGCTCATTAACCTGTCTTCCAGCAGTGGCCAATGCCAGATGCCCCAGAAGGAACATGTCAGGTAAGCATCAAATGATCCATCCCCATCCCAAGTCAAAGGTGATAGACAGCTTAGCTTAGTGTCAAAAGACAGTCCTTGCCTTCAGGGCAGTGTGGCCTAATGGCCAGAGTCAGTTACTGCAGCCCTTGCCTTCAGGGCACCATGGCCTAGTGACTTGTATCTCCAGACAAGAGAGGAAAGCTGCCAACAGAAGGGTGGCATCCCTCAGAGGAGCCCAGGTCCACCCTCTTCCCCAGGATCCACCTTAGTGCCTTAACAGCAGAAAGTAAGTCCATCACAGGGCCAGCAAGAAATCCGACTGCAACATGCTGACTCAACTGCATGAGAGGTATCACTCCCTCACTCTCTCTGGGTCACTTCCTACCCTATGTCTTGCTGCCTTCCATGAGTTGTTGGGGACACTAAGCTCCTCCATGAAGCTAATCTTCCAGTTCTCCCTGGTTTCTGGGCTTTATGAGCACTCGAGGCTTCTCAGCCAACATTGTGATTTTTCTTCACAAACCTACCCCACAGGTCCTTCCTCTCCAGCCATCTGACCTGAATGAGCTGAGCTTCCCCCTTTTATATCTGGCCATGGACCAAAGAATGGGAATAACTATCACAGTATCCTCTATGGTCTGGACTTCTGCAGTCTGATACCATGTGTGGTCCAGCATCCCCATAAGTGCTCCTGGTTTGGAGCACTCATGGGGAAAAATTGCCACCCGCACTCAGCAAATCTTCCCCCACCCTCCAAGAGTGCCACAAGCTTAAGGATGGAGGAGGGAAGGAAAGGAAGAAGGGACAGGAAGGAGGATGGGAAAGATACAGGGTGGCTGAAGAGCCTGGTAGCTTGGGGCCAGGAGCACAGCCCAGCTGCTACAGGGCTCGGTGCAGTCCCGCAGGGTAGCATACTCCTAGTTCCCAGCTGCAGAGTGGGGCTGCCACCCTGCCTCTTCCCCAGAGAACCCCTATCCTAGTCCCCACTCGGTCAATCCCGGACCCTCTGCTGCTGCTGGAGCAGAGCCTGGCAGCCAGTGACAACAGAGGGGCTGGTATTGACCTTCCCTGATCTGGAACCAGTCAGATGTTTCTCATCTTTGATTAATTCATGCTATCTCAGCACAACTCCTTTTATTACTTACCATATATACATCAAAATGATAGTTCGCCAGCGAAGGACTGGGTGCTTTATTAGGTTTAAGACACCAGATGCTGAATCATTCTTTTTCCTTGTTCCTGCACATGGTTTCAATTTTATAGTCAACCTTTCTTTTCCATTACCACAGGCCATGTACTGAAGCACATCCTCTGCTTCTGCAGTTTTCCCTTGGGAATATAGCCATCTTGGTGATTCTGGAAGCATACTACCAAAGAAAGATATGATAGTAAAAGTTCTGTCCTATCAACAAAGTATTGCATCAACCTTCTTTCTCTGCAAAAGACCTCTAGCATCATCTTGTAAAGCACTTGCATATCAATTCCAAACATGGGAGATCATCTAACATAGTACAAGTAATTTAAAACATGGATATTTTCTCAACCAGTTTGTATCAGGTACCTAAATTCCATTTTTAAAACCAAGCCAAATATTGTGGACAAAATGCTATGATGTCCAAATATTTTAAAATGTAATTTAAAGCCAAATCTTGACCTCTACTGAATTGACATTCAAGGGAACACAATAAGAGAACATATCAGAAACATTCTCAATTCCCATTCTCCCTACTAGGCAGAATGTTGTCCTTTATGTTAAAGAATGCCTTAATGCAGGTATTGGGAATCTTTTTCAGTCGGGGGCTGCTGACACACAGAAAAATCAGTCAGGGGCCATACACAAGTGAAATGCAAAGTGAGAAGCCCCTGAAAGAGAAGGATAAAGACACTCCCCACATTCCTCTTGAACACCAGAGCCTTAGAGGGGAGAGGGCAGGCTAGCAGATTGTGTGTGCTCCAGCCCAGCGGGCGGCAGACAGGGAGGCTGGAGTGCCAGTGTGGGCTCCCCAATGTTGAGCTTTGGGGGCTGGATCCAGGCAAGCAGGGGACGCTTCCAGCCCCACGCCTGAGGTTCCCCACCCCTGCCTTAATCCAACAGAATACCCAAATACTCATACTCAAGAAAAGTACCCTCATTTGGGAATTACCTCTACACTACATCTCAGTATCAATTAATCTCCATTCTAGGGATGTAAAATCATGTTTAATTAGTTAATCCTTAAATGTGAAATTTAACCAGTTAACTGATTAAATGGAGGCAGGAGAGAAGGCCTCTCCAGCCCAGCCCTCCCACGGCAGGCAGAAAGTACTCCAGCCTGGCTGCTTCTGGCACTATACTGAGCTGCCAGCTCCCAGCCTGCATAGGGCTGGAAGCAGCAGCCCTGCATAGGGATGACAGAGCTGTTGCTGCTTTCTGGGGCTGCTTCCATGCAGGGGCCCAGTGGGGCTGAAGAAGCCCTCTGCACGTGGCTGGCTGCTCCCCAGTTATCGGTTAACCATTACATTAAGGGTGATGCTTACCAGGTAACCAATTAATCGTTAATATCCCTACTCCAATCCCAGTAAAATTTGTAATTGGCTGGCTCAAATCTCATATCCTCTGGAGCTCTCATCTTTTCCATGTAGTTTTGCCACTACACTTTGTTGGACATCTAACACACAACTGCTTCTTGGATCTTTGCCCAACACAGCTTGAACTACATGCTGGCAAACCAGCTCTCCTTATGGATTCTGCTACTTCTGTCCTCTTATTCCTCCTTTTTATACCAGCTCTGGATGAGTTACTCTATTTCACTTCTTATGCAAATCAGAAGAGGTAAAAAGTTTTCTGTGTATTAATATTAATAAAATTGAGACATATTTAATGACATTAAGGCAAAGCTTCTGTTTTTTTGCTTCTTATGCTTCTGTGTCAATGAGGTTAACATCTTCACCTACATGATAAGGACAGGGAGGGCAGGCTTCTTTTGGCATCCTTTCTTCAAAGTCAAGTAAAATATCAAAGCCATTGTTTTATTGGTGAAGACAACTCTTCCACCTTTGACCTCATATGAGCATTAATCTAAGTCTTGCTTAGAGTATAAAGCATTTGAAAACTCCAGCTGTTCTTCCATAGCTCTATGTTTCAATGACAATAAGAAGGTTTGTTATTGTTAAATTGCTACACATTATGTACTTATACACAACAAAATTTGAAAAACTTACAAAGAAAGAAGGAAGAAGAAAACCCCTGGAGAATTTGATACAAATGCGAGGAAGCGCCATTCACGTATGTAGTAACCCAGTAAGGCATAAACTGCTATGCCAACTGCAAATGTCAAATTTGTTAATGAGCCTGAAAATAAAAACAGAAAGCTACGACATCAAACAATGAGAAAAGCCCACACTCAGAAGCCTCAAATTTCAAAGCAGTGAAATACACTAAGTAAATATTCTTCCTACAGTACATAAAGACTTTGTAATATGTTTGGTGTTGTTGGCATATTGCTATGAGTTCATTTGAATAAATTAACTGATTCAGACAGTACACAGATTACGTATATGTATTTACAGAATTTTAATACTGAGTTGTTTGGGGGGGGGGTCTAAAGGATGGAGGTGGGAGAGGAAATGAACGAAAAACTATAATTGATTTAATTGGATGCATGACAACAGTCTGGAGTGATAGTGAGCCAGACAAAATTGGAAGAGAGCTCTAAAACTGAAAAAGTAATTGGTATTGTATAGAAAAACAATGAATTTAAGTGATACTAAGATAAACTTACCAACCTTTCTGCAGAACAAATATCGATTAAAGATGTTATGGAAAATATGTAGTCACTGTCAATCACAAAAGTCTAAGAGCAAACTTTTGTAGTCAAGTATGAGAAATATAATACTAAACTGGAAGTTCTCAAATAGTGGTCAATGTAGCCTTGGCCACAGCTGACAGCTAGAAACTCTTCTTAAGCACTGCTATGAGGAGCAGTATTCATTGCTGCTTCTCCCTATTAAAACATGGATCTGTTCCTCAGAACTCCCTACTTAACAGATGAGAGGTACTAAAACAACAAAGCACCTGAAATGGCAAGCAGCAGGAAGTGGAGTATCTCTTCAGCCCATCAGGAGCCAGCCCTGCAGGGGAAAAGACTGGGAAGAACTGAGACAGATAAACAGGAAGTAGACAAAAACAACGAGGCAGGAAACAAACAAATAGGAAGGATCATTAGGGAAGGGGGGGAAAAAAGCAGTAAGTGGAAAAACAGGAAGATATAAAAAAAGAAAACTTACTCCCTTATTGCAAGAAGGGAAGAAAATATAAAGAAATAAGAAAAAAAAGCGTACAAAGACTGAAGAAATAAAAGGGGAAAATAAGCTTACCAACCAATAGAGTTAAACTTTTAGGGGAAAATTCTACTTAGTTACTCCAGTACAAATCCACTAAAATTAGAGTATCTGTAGAATTGTAATTTAGTGATGAACAGCCAAATTATAACCTTTATTATTAACTATACATTAAGCATTTGCACTGTCACAGCAGAGAAACATTTTTAAAATACTGGATTCAGTACACAATATGAAGAAGGATGAAGTATGTGCTAGCTTATTTTTGTGGGACAGAAGAAACCAAATACTTTTTAAAATGGTGAAGGAGAAAGGGGGAAGAGTTTGTGCCATCGTTTTTTCGAAACACTGATGATGATACTGAAAAGTAAGAGAAGGGGACACCTGGAAAAAATTTACCGCAAAATAGGCCATAGAGAGTTTGGGGAATCACTATGCTAATCTTGAAATATCATCAGTACACTGTTGGAAATGACACTGATCCCAATCGTGCAGTCTTCATTCAAGCAAAAGTTTTCACTGAAATTTTAGGCAATTTGAGAAGAATACTGCATTTATCTGACTTAGTATTGTCTTTATGTTGTACTAAAATAAATTCATAATTTTAAAATTATTTCTAAAATTACAGGAATTTTCAAAAAAGACAAAACTCTGTGCAATGTATTAACATTATTTTTAAATCTTACCTGTTAATGCCCAGAAAGACTTTCCTACATATTCTTGTGTCAAGACAAAGGACACTAGAGACATTCCACCATTCATAATACCAACAATAAAGCGTGACACTGCAAAAATTTCATAACTTGGAGAAAATGCTGTGACATAGCCAAAAATGACATCAAAGAGCAGACCTGCACAAAACAGAGCACAAAAATTTGATCTATCAGTCTTCTCAAGTAGTATACATTCTAAAAAGAGAAAAGGAAGGCAAGAACTGGACTGAATTACTTACCATAATAAGTATTCTAAAGGTATCAACTCTGTGGACGTACACATTTGGAGTTACAAACATCTTGGGTAATAAAGACTCCAAGGGGTACCAAATTGTTAGTATCTATTACCTTATCTCCAAGTCACACCTCTGAGATTTGTAAAAACCAAGAATGGAGATCTACACAAGGAAACTTACCTTTAGAAAATACTATAAATGAATACTAGACCCTTCAACTGAAAGTACAATTGCAAAATAGAAGGCCATTACATGAAAAAAAATTAGTAGTCCGGTGGCACCTTAGAAACTATCAAATATATAGGATCGTGAGCTTTCATGGGTAAAACTCACTTCATATTATTATCCGTTATCTATATTATGAAGTGGGTTTTACCATGAAAGCTCACGATTCTATATACTTGTTAGTCTCTAAGGTGCTACTCATTGTTTTTAAAATAACAGGCTAGCATGGCTAACCTTCTGAGACTTTGGGCCATTACATTAGTTATCCATTGTCATCTGAAGAATAAGTCCAGGTCAATTTACTCCCAACAACACTCCTATCAGTAAGAATTACTGATAACTAGATAATCAGACTGAATAACAATAATTCAGCTATGACATCATAATCACATAACTTCACAGTATTCTAAAATAAACTACTGTTAACTAATTTCAAGTGTAAGAAAATTACAATCTACAGAAAATGATAATTCTACAACTACACTTCTTCCTTCAAAGCTAAGTACAACCACTGACCTACAATATTCACTTTTGAACTTTAGAGCTGAAGGGATGCTTCATAACCTGAAAATCAGGAAATGGAACTGATAGGCTACAATGGGCACAACTGATTTATATCATACAAAGGTTTAAAATGCAAAGAGAAAGATACAACTGTGCCTTAAGAATCTCTTAATGCCAGCAGGCATATACAAATATATACAATTTTAAACCAAGTCTGGCAGAAGAAGTTACTCACCAGGTGCAGTAACGAATGTTCTTCAAGATTTGTCCCCCTGTGGGTACTCCACTCAGGTCTCAGTGTATCCTCATGCTAGGGATTGGAGATTTTTGCAGAGCAGCGCTCTTCGCACCTAGCGTCTCGCCCCCCTGCCATTTGTGGAGTGTGTGCGCGGTGCAAGTCCTGTCTGTTCCTTTTCTACCTGAAGTCCATGGAGACTCCAAGCAGAGGGGAGGATGGGAGGATAGTGGAGCACCCACAGGGGGACACATCTCAAAAAAACATAAATTACTGCATCTGGTGAGTAACTTCTTCAGTGAGTGGTGTCCCTGTGGATGCTCCGCCCAGGTGACTCCATAGCAGTACCCACCCGATGGAGGTGGGCATTGGAGTCTTTTTAAGTCGAAGAAGAAAGGACTGCATCTGCTAGAGATATGGAGGGTATTGGCCCTTTCTGTAGCGCCCTACAAATGTCTACCAATGGTACATTGTTCAAGAAGGCCATTAGAGTGGCCATCACACATATGGAGTGAACCCTGATGGGTTGTAGTGGCTGTTTACCCCTAAGTTCATAAATGGCTCGTATGCAGCCTGCAATCCACTTGGATAGGCAGTATGCCAAAACTGTTGTTCCTGTGCATGGTCCTGACCACACCACAAAGAGTCTGTCTGATTTCCTGGTTGCTCTAGTTTTAGATAGAATGCAATTACCTTCCTTGCATCCAGAGTATGTAATCTAGCCTCCTTGGGGGAGGCATAAGGTTCAGGGAAATAGGCAGATAAGTAAATGGGTTCATTTACATGGAAGTCAGATATAACCCTAGGGAGAAACTTGGGGTGAAGTCTAAGCATGGCTTTATCCCTGGTAAAGGTAGTGAAAGGTGGGTCTGCCATGAGGGCTGTGATTTCTCCTACCCTTCTTGCTGATGTTATTGCCACTATGAATGCCACCTTCATAGACAGGTATTGTGGTGGCGTAGTGGCTAATGACTCAAAAGGTGGCCTAGTGAGCATGTCAAGGACCAAATTCAGGTCCCACAATGGCACCAGGGAAGCAGAGGTTTGGACACATTTTCTGTAAGTCTCTGAGAAAACGCTTCACCATGGGATGTGCAGAGGGAGAAGCCGTCTATCGGATAATGGAAGGCCGTGATTGCCCCCAAGTGGCTTTGGACAGAGCTGATGGAAAAGCCCATGTTGCTAAGGTCCACGAGGCAGTCGAGTAAGGTAGGTATAGGGACTGTAGTAGGATGCAAATTGTGCACTGTGCACCATTGTTGAAAACATGTCCATTTGTTTTGATAGGTGCTTCTCGTGGAGGGACATTGACTATTTAGTAGGACTTGTTGGACTCTGTCCGAACAGGTGAGTCCTTCATTTTAGAACCATGAAGAAGCCATGCCGTAAGTTTCAGAGTTTTGATGTTGAGGTGGCATGTGGTGCCGTTGTGCTGTGTAAGGAGGTTCGGCACCACCGGGAGAGGGATGGGTTATCTATCTCCACTACCTGTTGATAAGGGAATGAGGGTTGTCTCAGCCAGGCTGGGGCTATTAGGATTACTGTGGCCCGATCGAACCGAATCTTGTTGATCACTCTAGTGATAAGAGGAACTGGTGAAAAGCGTAGAGTAGGAGAGCTGTCCAGCGAATGGTGAAGGCGCCCCCTTGTGACCTCTTGCCCAATCCTGCCCAGGAGCAGAATCTGTGGCATTTGCTATTTTGAGGTGTTGCAAAAAGGTCTATAGTCAGAAAGCCCCATTTGCGGAAGACTGAGAGGAAGATATTGATACTGATCTCCCACTCCTGCTGATCTGAGTAATGTCTGCTCAGTTTGTCGGCTCTCACGTTCTGTTGTCCCGGTATATACATGGCTGTTGGTGTATCAGGAACCAAATAACTCCAGTTCCAAAATCTGATTGCTTCAGCACATAGGGAGTGTGACTGGGCACTCCCCTGCTGATTGACATAAAACATAGAAGGTGTGTTGTCCGTGAGGACACAAATAATTCTGCCCTTTATCGGAGAAGGAAATGGGTGCAAGCCCTGCAAATGCCACTGAATTCCAGGATATTGATGTGGAAGTGTCTCTTGTGTTGGGCCCACGTACCCTGTATTGATACTGCACCATAACGGCCCCCCTAGCCCATGAGTGATGCATCTGTCAGTATAGTGACTGAGGGGTCTGGCCAGCGTAAGGGTATGCCAGCAAGCAGATTCACTGGAGATGTCCACCACTCTAGAGATTGCAGTGCTGGTAGAGGAAGCATGAGATGTCTTGTGAGGCTGTGTCGGGTTGGTATATAGTTGATTACGAGCCAATGTTGAAGGCATCTCATGTGTAGCCTTGTGAATAGTACTTTCTGTAAGCCATATGTCCCAACAATTGGAAGCATGTCCAGACCGTGGAGAAGGGAGTCTGCTTGACCTGTTGAACGAGGTCACGGATCGCCTCAAACCTTTGCAACAGGAGATAGGCTATTGCAGTGACCAAGTCTAGTAATGTCCCAATAAATTCTATGCTTTGCGCAGGCTGTATGGTGGATTTTTGTATATTGATAACAGGCCAAGTTGGGAAAAACATTCTCTGGTAACCATTGTCATGATGATAGTTTGCTGATAGGTAGGGCCCTTGATTAGACAATTGTCGAGGTAAGGAAAGAATGACATTTTGCCTTCTGAGGAAAGTAGTAACTATGGCTAGCGTCTTTGAAAATATGCGAGGGGCTTAGAGAGGACAAAGGGGAGAACTCTGTACTGATAGTGATCTTGGCAGACAACAAATCTGAGAAATCTGTGAGATCGATGGATAGTTACATGAAAATTTGCGTCTTGGAGGTCAAGGGCTGAGACCCAGTCCCCTTCATCCAGTGTAGGTATGATGGTTTCCAGGGTCACCATCCTAAATCTTATATTGGGAATGAACTTGTTGAGTTTTATGAGATAGAGGATCGGTCTCCATCCACCTGTTTTTTTGGCTATGAGGAAATAATTGGATTATAAACCTCTCCCTCGGAATTCTTTGGTGAGGGGTTCTATTGCCCCTGAGACGAGTAATTTTTGCACCTCAGCCCGTAGTAGGGGCTCGTGAGAGGAATCCCTGAAAAGGGACAGGGTAGGGGGTTGGATAGGGGGCATGGATGTGAAGGGGATTGCGTAACCTGCCTTGATAATTTCTAGGACCAATTTGTCTGTGGTAATTTGGGCCCATTGTTGGTAGAAAGGTCTCATGCAACGATGGAAGATGACACTGGAATACACTGGTAGTGTGGGGTGGTCGCTCAGACCCCCGACCAAAGCTTCAAATTTGTTGTTTGTTGAAGGTGGACTGATTCGTGGAGGAGTGGTTTTGCTGAGTGCTTCTCCTGTTAGATCGTTGCTTAGGCCTGTTATCATATGGCCCCTGCTTCTGCCTGTAGTAATTGTAATTATAGTCCCTAGGTCTTTGGTAGGGAGTATATTTGTATTTTCTTATTGGGTGGGGTGTACATCCCAAGCATGCGGAGTATCGTGCAGGAGTCCTTCATTGAGTGTAGGATCTCGTCTATGTTGTTAGCAAATAGTTGTTTTCTGTCAAAGGGGAGATCCTCCACTTTAGCTTGAAGTTCTCTTGGGACCCCTGATTATTGCAGCTATGGGGCCCTATGAATTACAGTGGCTGTGACTGTGGTTCTAGCCGCGGTGTCTGTAACATCCATAGTGGCCTGGAGAGCAGTTTTAGCTATTGAATAACCCTCCTTGATAACGGATTGGAGGTGAGGCTGTTTATTATCAGGGAGGTCCCTGTAGCAGGTCTTCTAACTTGGCATAATTGGAGTAGTCATAATTGGCCAGAAGGACTGTATAATTCAATATATGGAACTGAAGTGTGGCCAAAGAGTACACTTGGTGGCAAAAAGTGTCAAGCTGTTTGTGTTCTTTGTCACGGGGCATAGATTTAAATTGTGGGTTCTTCGCCTTGTGATTAACTGAGTCCACCACCAGAGAGTTTGGCTGGGAGTGTACAAAAAGAAAAGTCCATGTGGGCATGGGAGGAATGTGGTTGGTACCCTTGCTGTGCATACCAAAGGGCCCACTGAGGCCGGAATTGATGTGATGGATACATCCATGGCTGGTTGGACCACATGGGATGCTGTTGGTCTCTGTATGAATGCCAGGAAGACAGTGATAGAGAAGGAGAGGAGTGGCCTGACGAGAACCTGCTCCTATGCCTGCTACCATACTCGGATCTTGGGGATATTGGTGTAGACAGGGGAGGGGCAGCCGGTGGCATAATAGTATGCCCCTCTGTTGTAGGGGGTGGCAAGCAAGCTGCGGCTCTTATGTCAGGCTGAGATTTTGTAAATGCTGTATTTTTCACAGCACTTTTTTATGCTGCAGTGCCAAGGGGTGATCAAGGTCACTTTGCCCCGTTTGTTCAGGCACTGAGGGAGAGCTCACAGGAGCTGATGGTGGAAGCATATGCAGCTTCCCTGGGGCTGCTGCCTCACTGGCGCCAGTCGGAGCAGCAAGTTTAGACTCTGCCTCAGCTCTCCTGGCTGAGGCTGATTTATGTTTCTCTGTGGTGCAATAGACTGATGGCACTGGGGAACGCAATGCTCTGGGCCACGCTGATAAGGAGCGTGCCAGGGAAGCCCTTGCGGCTTGAGAGCCTTTGGGAGGTGAGGAAGCTGCCCTGTCAGAAGGCTTTTGCTATCCCCATGACTCCTTTGGTTTGTCCCTTGATGTTTTAAGAGACTTTTCCCAGAGTAAAGTTTTAAGCCGCATTTCGCAGTCTTTTCTGGCCCTAGCCATTATATTCAGGTAACGAGGGCACTTATGTTCTGGGTGAGACTCCCCTAGGCATTTGACACAGGAGGTATGGACATCCAAGGAAGGCACCATGTCTCTGCAGGAATCACATTTTTTAAAGTCGGGGGAACCCGACATACTGAAGAGAAAAAAAGCCACCACTGCCGCCGTGGCAACTGCCATTTTTTTTCTTTTAGCATTCCAAACACTGAAACGAGCTATAACTGACTAAACTAGGAGATAAAAACCCTAAAATTACTTGTAAAATTCTTATTTCCTGTCAGGAAGAAGAACGCTGCTCTGAACTCTGTCTTCAGCCAAGGATGGTTGAAAAGGATCTGACGGGACTTGCGCCACATGCAAACTCCACAAACGGGTGGGGGGTTAGGGGACTGGAAGCCACTAGGTGCACAGGCGTGGCACGAGGGGCACTCCTTTGCAAAAATCTCCAATCTCCAACACGAGGACACACTGAGACCTAAGTGGAGCACCCACGGGGACACCACTCACAGAAGAACAAGCATTACAATACAATACAAGCGTTACAATACAAGCATTACAATACAATACAAGCGTTCTTCGGAAATACTCTTGTTCCCATCAAGGAAATGGGCTTTTAGACGAAAAGTATGATGAAATGCATATATTGTGTAGTCTCAATGGAAAAGTATTAAATACTTTTATTCTGGTCCTCATTTCCTTCAGATGTGAACATCCAGATATTATGACCAAGTAGAAAATGTATAAGATATAATGGCTTTACTTTGATCTTACCTGACATGTACACTGGTTTCCTGCCCAATTTATCAGACAATGGTCCAAAAAATATATTTCCAATAAGCAATCCAGCAAAATACAAGGATGATGCAAGGTTTACTTTATAGGCTTCATGTTTGATTAAGTACCACTGTTGAAAATAAAGTTAAACAGTAATATAGAATTATTGGCGTCTTTAAAATATTTAAAAAATTATAATACTTTTACAACTATGGACTATCTCTTGCCTTTATTCCATATTCTGATCTGGAATTCTGTTTAACAGAGTTTTGTTAAAGCTCCATTTCAGTTTATGGTCCAAAAACTTTTTAAAATTACATACTTCAGTCAAGAAGTTTCATTACAATATGATTCTCATGCTACCTTTCAATGATGAAGCACATAGAAATGCAGCACAACAAACTTTGGCCCACCAACAGCAACAAAGTCAAAGTTATTAGAAATAGGAAATACTGATTTTTTAACAGCATGAACTAGAAATCTCTAGTCTTGTTTCTGAAGCACAGTGTGGCAGGGTCAGTCCCACATTCCTACAGTCTAGAAGTCAGTATATGGCTCACTCGCCTTGGTTTGAGATTTGTTGTCTCCCTGTAGTCTTTTAAAAAGGTCGATGCTGTTCTCTTGGTTCCTCCGGTGTGTCTCTCTCTCTCCAAATTCCTCCTTTACTCTCCAATACTCCTTCACAGCTCTCCAAACACCTTCTCAATTCTCTCCACACTCTCATAACTCTCCCAACTCCTTCTCAGCTCTCTCTCCCCTCACCCACAGGGAGGGTTCTTAAATAGGCCTCCAGGCAGCCCCAATTAGTTTCAGCTGGGCCTTAATTGATTTTGCAGCCGCCCTGTCTCAGCTACCCCTAATTAGCCAGGATTGCAGGATCCCATTCCATCAAGCTCTTTAATCTGCTGTATCACCCCTGCTTTGTCACATATCCACCTCCCCTGCTCAACACTATGGGGTTGGGCTTCTTGGGACAGCAGGCAGTGCACCCTCGATAAGCCATCGGCGTTGCCATGCTTGGCTCCGGCCCTATATTTCACTTGGAAGTGGAATGGTTGCAGGGACAGGAACCACCGTGTTACTCTCACATTCTTGTCTTTATTCTGGTGCATCCATTGTAGGGGCATGTGGTCTGTGACGAGGGTGAATTGTCTTCCGAGCAGGTAGTATCGTAGGCTCTCCACAGCCCACTTTACTGCAAAGCACTCCTTCTCCATGATAGCATAGTTTCGTTCTGTTGGAAGGAGCTTCCGACTTAGGTATAGTACAGGATACTCTTCTTCTTTGACCGTTTGGGACAATACCACACCTAATCCGACTTCTGAGGCGTCGGTCTGTAGTATTAACTCTCTCTCAAAATCTGGGGCTATGAGCACTGGGTCACTGCACAGGGCTGATTTTAAGTTGATGAATGCACAGTCTGCTGCTGGAGTCCATTTCACCACATCTGGGCCCCGGGCTCTCGTTAAGTCTGTCGGGACATGCCCTTGAAGCAAAATGGGGGATAAACCAATACCCCACTAGTCCCAAGAACGCCCGGACCTGTTTCTTACGTACAGGCCGGGGCCAGTTCTGTATTGCAGCCCCTTTATTCAATTATGAAGTGTAGGAGCATAAAATAGGATAGCATATTCAATTAGGGTTTCACTAAGCCTCTCCCTACTATGTATCCCAGGTATTTGGCCTCTCTAGTTCTATTGTACATTTTGCCGGGTTTGCAGTTAGGTCAGCTTCCATTAAGGTGTCCAGTACAGCCGCCACCTTCTCTAAATGTGGGTCCCAATCCGGAGTGTGGATGATGACATCATCAAGATAAGCAGCTGCATATGTACAGTGAGGGCAGGTGCTCTATGTAGTCCAAATGGGAGGACAGTGTACTGATATAGGCCCTCGGGGGTGGCAAAGGCTGTCTTCGCTCTGGCTTCCCTGGCCAAGGGAATTTGCCAGTACCCCTTGGTCAGGTCAAGGGTGGACAAAAACTGAGCCTTTCCCAGCTGATCAATGAGCTCATCTATTTGCGGCATGGGGTATGCATCAAACTTTGACACCTCATTCAACTTCCAGAAATCATTGCAAAAATGGAGGCTGTCATCAGGTTTAGGCACTAAGACAATGGGCTGGACCATTGGCTGTGGGATTCCTCAATGACACCTAGTTTTAGCATATTCCTTACTTCTTTTTATACCTCCTTTCACTTTGCTTCTGGGATTCGGTAGGGCCTGACTTTCACTCTTACGCCTGGGTCCGTGACTATATGGTGCTCAACTTCAATGGTCCAGCCAGGCTCTGTTGAGAACACATCTGAGTGTCGCTTCAGCATTGCAAGAACCTCTCCCCTCTGGCCCGGGGTTAATTCTGGGGAGATCTCCACCTGTCCCTGTTGGCTTTCATTCAGTATTGCTGCCCCCAGGGTGGCCAGCTCCACCTCCCTGTCTCGCCATGGTTTGAGCAGGTTAATATGGTAGATTTGTTCCAGTTTCTGGCAACCCGGTTGCCGCACCTTATAACCTACCTCCCCTATGACCTCAACCACTTCATAGGGTCCCTGCCACCTGGCAAGGAGCTTGCTCTCTGCTGTTGGGACCAGCACCACTACCCAATCGCCAACCTGGAATTTCTGGACCGTCGCCCGACGGTTGTAGTAGGTTTGCTGAGCCTGCTGGGCTTTTTCTAGGTGCTCTCTTACAATGGGAGTTATCTGCGCGATCCTGTCCTTCATCTGCAGGCCGTTCTCTACAATATTGCGTCCGTGGTTTGTCTGCTCCTCCCAGGTCTCTTTGGCAAGGTCTAGAAGGCCCCCGGGGTTTCGTCCATATAGCGGTTCAAATGGGAAAAACCTGTGGATGCCTGTGGTATTTCTCGTATGGCAAACATGAGATATGGGAGTAGGTCATCCCAATCTTTCCCGTCCCAACTCACTACCATCTGGATCATGTCCTTGAGGGTGTGGTTGAACTGCTCAATGAGGCCATCCAGCTGTGGGTCGTATACTGACGTCCTCAGAGCCCATATGTGGAGTAGTATACACAGGTCCTTCATTAACTTAGACACAAAGGGAGTACCCTGATCGATTAGGATCTCCTTGGGTATCCCCACCCTCGAGAAGATTTGAACTAACTCCCTTGCTATTGTCTTAGAATGGGTATTTCTCAGGGGTACTGGCTCAGAGTATCGAGTGGCATAGTCCAGGACCACTAATACGTTCTGGTATCCTCAGGCTGACTTTTCTAATGGGCCTACTAGGACCATAGGTTCAACAGGGGTATCCGTGGGGGGGCATGAAGCTGGCATTCGGGGCAAGAGGCACAATACCGCCGAACCTACATATATACCCCGGGCCAATAGAACCTTCGTAAAATCTGATCTAGGGTCTTCTTAACTCCTAGGTGACCCCCGAATAAATGACTGTGTGCTAGGTCCAGCAGCTTTTTCTGCAACGGTGTCACACTGTTGACTCCTATTTAGCTTGTGGTCCACTATAAGCCCTAGATCCCTTTCTGCCGTACTTCCTAGGCCAGTGTTTCCCAATTGGTGCTCCGCGGAACCCCAGGGATCTGCGGAGCAAAACGAGGGGTTCCGCGAGGAGCCGGCGCTCCCCCGCCCCCTCTGAGAGAGAGAGAGAGAGAGAGCTGGCTAGCCAGCAGAGGCATGGGTGGCGAGTTGTGTGGGCTTGTGGTGCCCATGTTCCAGGAATATTTGGAGCTGGAGCTGGAGCTGGAGCTGGAGCTGGAGCTGGAGCTGGAGCTGGACCCGACCCCTCCCACCCGCATCCTCCCACCCCAGCCCCAGAGCGTCTCTCCCCCGTCCCCGGACCCCTCCCTGTCATGC